CCCCGTTTTTGAAGGACGTGTCTTTTTATGTCTGGTCCGCCACAACATCAAGATCTGGTCGTTAAACGTCTCTTGCAAAAATAAAAGCTATAGGAGAAAGATAACATATTTATGGACTGACCATCGTATTCATAATTTTCAGGGACTCTTGTGTGGGAACACCTACCAATTATACCTAAGGTCTCGCAACAAAATTGGAAGCAGCCCGTCGTCGCCTGTCCTCTCGGTCCGAACACAAGGACAAGCGCCAGGAATTCCACCCGCTGCGTCTTTTCTCAGTCCAAACTCGACGACGCTTGTCCTGCGACTCCACGTGTGGCCCGACAATGGCTGTCCGATCCTCTACTTCGTGATTCAGTATAGACCCATCAACGAGTTCCACTGGACGCTGGTGTCGAATAGCGTCAAGATGCAACGACGTTTCATCGTGACGAACCTGCAGCCTAGCTCGGTTTACCAATTGAAAGTCGAAGCGCACAATGTAGCTGGCAGCAACCAAGCGGAATTTACATTTGTAACGTTGACGAAGGAAGGTGGTAAGCCTGGTTAATTATACGTTGCTTTCGTTAAGCCTGAGCATACAACGCTTTTGCTGCTATCGAGCGTAATTTGCGTAACGTATATAACGAACATAAGAATGTTGCTCATCTCTTCTCAAATAAATATCAAATATTCTTCTACTGCTTTCAAACAACAATTTAACTTTCCAGAAATAACATTTCACGGCACTTTTTCTATGATTTTCAAACGGGTTTTGAGTACAATATGTCCACTTCGCAACGAAATCGTTTTTTTTCTTAGTTCACTCTCTAAAAGTGGATGTTTTCGATTAGGTTTATATAGACGATTGTTTAATAACTTTTTAATTACTTAATGCTGCTTTGTCTAGCGTAATCGATTTTCTTACTACATTCGAATGAACGGACTATTAAAAAATTCACAGCTCGATTATAGCTTAAACATAAACTAATCGATCGATGTCGCGAACGTTCGTCGAAATTCAACAAAATATTCGCACTGCGAGAAGCTAGCCTGAGCACAGCCCGCTGGTGACACTTATCACATTGCAAGAGTTCTATCCAAAAGCACTGTGTTCCTGAAACTTTGCAGAACCACCCTCGCCAGAACTCTCGAAACGCGGTATCGCATCGGCTGTGCCGTTTTACGCTGACGTGAGGGTGATGCTGCCGTTGATAGTGACCATCGTTGCTTTGCTGATCGCCGTGGTGATCGTAGCCTTTCGCTGGAAAAACAGTAAGCTCGGATTTTCGTGGTGTCCCAGCCACTGCTCGGAAGAGCGAGAACTTCGCGAAACTATTCACGTCGCCCTCAAAATTCGCAGGATATCTTGGGGACAGGGTTCAACGGCCGATGAAAGAGTCTCAGGAGAACCAACAGAATGCGGAGACGCAAAGGGAACGATACTACGCCACCATTCACAAGGTCGCCTTGCAACAAGCGAATACGGGCGGAGGGCCCGACAAGATTCCAGGTGAACCTTTGTTACGATACGGACGACAGCCAGGTTTGGTACTATAATTGTTGTTCAGATAACAGTCGCACGCGTAGCGCAGTTCGAATGGGTCTGGACGAACCCGTTTAGCGTTCGATTGCTGTTCACCAGGGGCGGTCGTTTATTTTGTCGCGTCTTCGTTCTGTGTCGTCACCGTAGTCCGAGATTCTTCATGATTTTTCTTTGCGCTTCTTGTACGATCATACTTTTCATATACTAATCATACTGTTGGTATGCTCTCTCCCATGGAACGATTTAAGTCTGACAATTCGTTCTTCGAACGTGTTCACGATCTTTCGAGGCACATCCTCCTCTTTCGATATTATTAGAAAGTATGCAAATACCATCCGAGAATGAGTTGCAAGACCTTGACTCTCCCTCATGATAGACTTCTCACACATTTGCTCCACCGAGTTTGGTTGAACGTTTACTCATGCATCGCTTGAATCATCCACGATCATCCGACTCTTAGTACGTTGTACTCGACAAAGTAAGTAAACGAATTTACCGAATTAACATGGATCGCACAACGAGCCTTGATCGCGTTTGCGAGCGATCTCCGATGCACCGAAGAGGAAGTTACTCGATCCATTTTAATTAGGCATCAACTATAGACGTCATTTCTCAAATAGATTGATATCCTTTTATGGGACACTAAAAAGATAATAAATAAAAATGATATAAAAATAATAAATAACGATTAAAGACAATTTGGCAGAGGTTTAACTTGTAGCATCGAGTTTGCAGACGAATAATTTCACTCGGAAAGGGTGTTGTATAAAAGCAATAGTAAATTCTTGAATTTTGATACCTGATTGCTAGTCTGTGGATTTCTGTGCTGGTCTTTTCGTCGAGCATGGGTAAGTGAAATGCGGAAGACATGAAAATTATTTGAAAATCTTGTTACAGTATTTTCAATCGATTGCAGATATTGATACTCGGATGACGGGACTCGGGTCCATTTGGGCCGAGAACATAGATATAAATATAGAATATAAATATTGTTACTTTTATTTAGTTTCCGACGATTGTCTTAAATTTTATAGAACAACTAATATGTCCAGATGGAGTACCTTAAAAAGTCTGTTAACGAAAACTGTTTAACGAAGTTATAAATGATCTTAAGCATGCTCGGTTATATTTTCGTCAAGGTTATTTTTGTCAAGGTTATCGAAGGAAGAATAATATCATTATTTAACTCGGGTTTTGTAGCATCGATGCAAACAATTTTGATTTCAAATATAAATCCGCGAACTACTAATCGGTGAATAGACAAATTCTGTTTAAATTAAAAACAAATCATAGAGCTAAATCGTCGCATCGTATTCGAGCGAAAGAATTCGTCGTGCAACACAGAATGTTCGACGTCCCTTGCAATCAAAGGACAAAGTAACATAGCGAATGTAAAACGACAGTTGACATGGAAACCAGGGAACTCATTCATATCCACAGAAGTCATCCCGACGCGATTTGAAAGGTAGGCAATGCCTCTGGTGGGTTACAGAGACAGCGGAGGACATCTCTCCGTACGCTACGTTCCAGCTTTCGGAGGGTGGCGGGGGAAGCCTGGCCGGGTTGGGAGGTCTGGGAGGACTGGGAGGCGCGGCGGAAGCTTCAGCAGCCGGTCTCCACCCGAACAACACTCTTCTTCACAGTTTCATGTATCACGAGCACGCCATGACCGAAGGGTGCGCAAGTCCTCCGCCTGCCGCGACCGTACGTTTTATTATGGATTAATGGCACAGCCGACGTTCAAATGCGACTATTAACCCCTTGCCGTACTTTGTCAAGCTTCTTTCGCGATGAAGATGTCCTGTTAAGTATGAATGTCATTCTTAAATCGGAACGAAATTCGGTTCTCTTGTCATCAATATTTAAGTACTCGCGTAAATGTATAGCCAAATAATAAATATAAATATATTATATATTATATATAATATAAATATATATATATATTATTATATATAATATATATTATATATATATATACTTCTTCTTTCAAGAAATTATTACAATATATTATATATAATATAAATATATATAAATAAATATACATATATATTTTATTTTATTAACATTAATATATTATTTATATATATATATATATATATATATATATATATATTATTATATATAA